CTTTGGATCGTACGAATTGCCTACATAATCTATCCCCTAAGGCTTGGTCCTAAGAGAGGAGGACTAAGAGAGGAGCTTTCTGCATAGCAATGCATTCCCCTTTCAGCATGCACACCAGAGCCCTGAAATATAAAACTTATTCGAAGGCATCATTTACGATTAATTTTTTTAGAAAAATGTCTTCTGCTAAGAAGGTCTTGGGTCTATAATTGCACAGAAAGTAAAGCATAGTTGTAGCATGAAAGCGCGGGCTAGCAAAGGGAGCGCGTGTGCGGAAAAGGCTAGCCAAAAGACGCTCGACTGCAATGCCCGAGCGCACTGTGTTGCGCATGCGTTGGTGTATGCGTCTCGCTCGTCCCTATGCTCTCTCTCGGTCACTAGTCTTTCTTCTTTCGTGGATTCGTCCAGTGCCAAAGAGGAGGCATTAGTGTTTTTAGCCGATTCTCTTCACTTTCCTTCATTGGCGGTCTATTGTGCACCTCGGGTTTTTTTGAGTAATAACCCCATATAGGTAATCGCGGAAAGTGTCTAAATGGAAAAGTAATTCAGCAATGCCCCCAAATAGAGTAGTTTACAAAGAATTCTTATAGATAGACCAACTCATTCTGTCCTACGGTGGCCTTCGTGGTGCGATCGCGTTCGGGTTAGCGATGTCGATTCCAGCAACCATTATGGCAAGACAGATGTTCATCACCACAACAATTGTCGTGATTTTCTTCACTGTATTCCTCCAGGTACGCACAACATTGCTTTTTTACCTATGAAATCATAAATTTGTATATGTCGCAAATATCCTCACGACGCCGTTGTATGTCATCGGCGATGTAATAGCCGGGTGCCATCTCCATTACCTAACTAGTTCCGGTTTGACTTCGTCAGTTCTTATTTGAGTTTGGTTACCTCAAGCAGGTCCACATTTCCAGGGCATCACAATTCGGCCGCTTGTCAACTATCTGAACGTGGAAACAAAAGACGATCGCCCTGCTACGATGACAGAAAGCGTCTACAACAAGGTTCTGTACACTCTTTGAACCGATTTCTTCTGAAGGCTGAGTTTGCAGTAGGGAGCCATCTATTCTTTTTTTTTGTAGCCCTTCATCAAAGTATCAACCTATAAGTTAGTGTGCAGACATGACGGCTGGACAGCCGGTTTTCAGCTGGCGTACCCAACCTTCTTCCCCCTCCGCTCTCCCCTCCAGCGTTCTCCCCTACAGTAAGATTATACGTCGAGGAAGTTAGGACGATATACTGTAAACCAGTGGATGGGACGACATGCGAGCTTCCCTCTCTTGCCCGCGAGCCAAGCGTGCGCAGTCTTGTATTTTTGGGAAGCTGCTCGGGGTTCTCGGTTCATCGGCTCTGAAGGATGAGAGGTCTGCAGTTTCGCTGAAACATCGTCCGAACGGCTGCAACGTGCACTAGCGTTACGTTTGGCTAAGTGTCTGTCTATGTCCGCGACTATGTTTTCTATCTCGTTTTCCCCCTCACTTTATTAGATGAAAGAGTCGTACGGATTCAAAATCGACAACGTTCTGTATGACCCTGGGGGAGTGCGGGCGAGTGTCTAAGGCAGTCTGTTTCAAATATAAATGAATGACAGGGATAATTGGACCTATTTCAGTACTTGGACTACATGATGTCTGGTGTGGAAGATATTGCCTGGTCAGCAAGGTCATTACTCTCTGCGTGACAAGTGAGTTTTCCAAATCAAATTATGAAATTGAAAGAACAGAAGAACATCCTGCATTTTGGCCATTACCGTTTTTGAGGAGTCTGGTTCGGATTTCATTGGGACCCTCTTGGAAGATACTTGCGGAGGCGTTAGCCGCCTTCCTTTCCGTACCTCAAGCGGGTGAAAGAAGTTTATTATGCTCAAAATCTCAATATAATGGCTCTCTTATACAATTATATTCGGTACAGTTTGGGGCCTAGTTTATAAGACCCGACCGCACCCGCTACACCGCTAACTGTTAGGCGTCGGTAGCGGACCGCTGTGACGATGAGTGAGCTGTAATCGATGCCTCGGCTAATGTGGTTCCACGTGATTAACTCCTTGAAAGGTTTACCAGGCGCGATGGAAACGGCGTTGACCTTTGCTCGCCCTTCCAGGTGTCGTAATCTTGTCGCCGACGCGCAGCGCGTGCGCGCGCTGGCGACTTTCAGTGGTTCGAGGGCTTTGTTGTGCAGCTGCAATTCTGTTAACACATTCACGACGCCCCTTCCACTTTTCGGTCGCGTGGGACGGACGCGATTTTGTGGGCGCCGCCGCCTCACCACATCACCTCAGATTTTGTACTGTAAATGAACAAAAACATGAATGCCACAAAATGATTTCAGCAATGTTCAATGTGTAAAGATTATCTAAACATATAATAGTAGTATTTCGATCAGAACGACGAATAGTGGTACGAAAAGAGAGAGCATTTATTCGCTTCCCGTGTAAAGGATTTTAAACGCATTTCTCACTCGATTACGAGAGATTTACCACTACTTAGTGCCTTCGGGCGATGGCAGCCCATATGGGCTGCCATGTTCCAGAAAGAAATGTTCAGTTGGCGCCCACATGGGCGGCCATCGGCGTGAAGTGTGTTAATTATATTAGGGACGGATTCATTCATATATGACATGTGTTCAGTTCGACGTTTTCCACTCAAAAAGTGCTGCGGCGATCCCCCCTGATGAGAAAGAAAGAAGAAGAACTTCGACGCTTCCTCTATTGTTCGTGCTTATCAGAAAATCACACTGGAAGATGCAATGAATCTTACAAAAATGCAAAAAGCAGAAAACAAAAGGATCTCGGCGTTACGAGAGTATGCCATTAGGTTCTCTTTAATCACGATTACCTGTAAGGTCTATGGAAAGATACGCATGGTTTACAGGCAAGAGCTACGATTCGCCTGATGGCACATATGCAAATAAAGGATTTGAGAAGGATTTATCCAGTAATGATATGACCGTAACACCGCAACGGAAGCAGCTGGATAAGGTAACCATTCAAGAATAAATAAATTAATTAATAAACGAAATTTTTTTCTTCTAAGGTCATAGCCAGTGGTGAAAGTGTCGATGGCCTGTACGCGTTGTTCAGCGAGCTGCTGGATAGAAAACTGAAGGAACTGAACACCACGAGGGGGCAGGTCAAGAATGAGCCAGAAGATGGTGAAGATATCCAGGACGATTACATGCGGCAAATGACGACTGCAGCATGCTGTAGCTATCGCATCCTAGACCATTTTTATTGATATTTGTAAAGAAAGCTTAGACAATAGCGATAGATGGAGCAGTGGTATGTGGTGCCGCCAACAGCGATCTGAATCGCAGATCGAATCCGGCTCGGGCTACCCATACACTTTGAGACACTTATAAGTTTCATATCAACAGATGCTTTTTACCAGAAAAAGCTGATATCATCGACGCGACGAAGGATCGAGCAACCTGTGTTCAGGTTGGGCATCCGTACGGCGATTAGGGGAGGCAATATCTGATCCGCCCATTGAGCAATCGCCTAATCGCCTACTCGCCTAGTCGCCTACTTGCCTACTAGCCTACTCGCCTAATCAATACATATTTCCTTCGTTGACTAAACGTCTAATCGCATGTACGATCGCCGACTCTGAACGCTGCCTTAGAGTTTGGTCACCATCGGGGATGCGAGCCCACTGCCTGGGTCTAGTAGCGGTGTCACACGCCACTGCTCCATTTTTGCAGCCTATATTTGAATGATAGCAAATATACGTGAACAATTTGTTTACAGGGTTCCAGTCAGAATATACGACAGGCATTAAATAGTGAAGCCCTGCAACTGAATGATCCGTATGTACGAAATGGACGACGACAAAGCACAGGGGGAATGAAAGAACGAAAAAGGGGATCAACATATGATCGACATGCTGTGTAAAAAATTTACAGCCCCATTTGACAGACACTTCGTTGAGTGTCGACAATAATACATATGTTTTCCATGAAAATAATAAAAATATTTGAATATGCACAAGTTCATGTTTGAGGTTATGTTCATTTTTATTACCGTGCAGAAGGCACACATAAGAAGAAAAAAACGACCATTGCAACTGAAATGAGTGCTATCTTAGTTGAGGGGGGCCACGCGGCGACCCGACGCTCTGTTCGTCTCCTCCTGCAAGGCTTAGTCCCCGATGGCGAAATAGTAAGTGCCCCTGGGACTAAGCCTTTGGAGAAACAGACGAATAGAGTGCCGCGCCGTCGCGTGGCCCCCATCAACTAAGATAGCACCCTAAAATGAAATCGACACACCACTGATAGCAACAAAATGGGTGAGCAAGGAAGGGTCTGTTCCCGCAAACCAGAGAAGATTATGGGTTCAAGAACATAGGGCGGTATACCGTAAGGCTTTCGACGTTGGGGCGTTGGCACTGGGCGCGCAATGTCACGTGTCATCGATTTTCCATGCGTGCTCGCCTCCCAGTTCTCGTTTTTCTCTGCATTCTCTCAACGAGGAGAAAATGTGTCGAGCAAACTCGCCAACTATAGCTTGCACCTGCGCTTCGGCACCAACGCGGATTACGGTATACCACCCTGTTTTCCTACACTTATAATCTTGTGAAAGCTTAGCTTGCCGGGTCAGTACGGACACACACAAACAAGTGACGACGGGCTCCGCAAAGGCTGAATAGCCTTCGCCATTGAAATGATAAGCCAGTTGTAGTTGTATTTTCAGTTAGCTTATCATTTGCAGCTATCATTTTACCATAACTATCGCTATGTACATAAACCGCTGTCTACCACATTTTCTTTGAGCGTAGCCGGCTTTTGGAGCAAAGGGTTACAGCTCGATCACAACCAATGGCTCCGTAAGATAACAAAACAATTGCTCTTCCTGGAAGCGGTAAATCTGCAGTTACTATGGGGGGGGGGGGACAAGGTAATGTAGAGGTTTTCGTTAACGTGATATAGTCAAACGAGGCCACGTTGCTTGCTCTCTGTGTCTAGAATACACCGTGCACTCGTTTCTCATGCGTAATCGCAATTAAGTTTGAAAGGTCCATGTGTAAGCACAAGTACACATGAACACACGTGTAAATGTAATAATGTAAGCGACTGAAAAGGGTTTGTTTAGCCGGGTGGAGAGCATCGGTGTTACCAAGCTGTTTGCACTTACCTTTACCGTGCCACTAGCTACTCTACCACTACTAAATTTGTGAGGTCTGCCTCCAGCCGAACACTTGTCTTCCCTTCCTCTAACATACCTCTGACTTCCAAAGAACCAGAGAGGGCGTCGAGTGTAGACCACACACCATAAGTGTCGACGCCCCTAAAAATAAAAATGTTTTATGCCAATGAATGAGCCGCCAATGCAGTTGCGGTTTATCGGTTGTCACAAATTACGGCTATCATTTACCATTTTCAGCTATCACTATGAATCACTAGAAAGCAGGTTCACTTGGAGGATGTCGTCAATTGTGGTGTGTTTTCTGCACTTTAAAGAGCACCTGGTTTTCGGAAGCAGAGGTTATCTACGGTAATTCTCATAGCCTACTTTTATGAGTGACAGGTTTTAACTTTCTAACTGGGTAGGAACACTCTCAAGGAAGCATTTCTCACGAGAGCAGTAAAGGGCAGTGCTCGTTCATTCAGCTCGCTTGAATTTCCGAGGGATGGATGATCTTGGAATGGGGATACAGTGGAAAGAGTTCAGGTTCTTCAAGCAGGTTCTTATGACCCGAATAAAATCTCAACGACCATCCACTGCGCAACGGGTCACATTATGAAGTCCGCCGTTCACAAGGCTTCTCGTAGGGCATTCAGAGAATCTCCCTATGCTAAGTAACCTAAAACCAGTTTCCAGCTGAACAGTTACCTTCATAAAAAACAAATGATGTGTGTTCTCCAGCTCAGGAAGGAGAATGAGAGAAAAATGTTTTTTCCCCTGAACATTCTCAATTTGGTAATATCTCTCAGTCCGGCCTACAACAATACCTCACGTCGTTGTTATCTGCTTAAACACTCGCCTCTTGTTCGGCTTTCTATTTGGGATGCGGCGAGCGTTTTCCTCGGAATCGCAATGCTAATTCAAATTTGATGCTTCCGGCAACTACGAGTTCCGTTCACCATCCTACATTTGTAGTCGTTCTCAAGGGCTCATGAATCCTCTATGGAACCTGAAGCATTTTTCGATAAATTTGAACATCTAAATTCCTGATAGAGTAGTATATGATAGGTGATCTTAATTTTCTGCAAAGTCCTATTTTGAAATATTAGTAGAATTGACATTAGGTTAGCTGTCTTGTTAATGTTCTGGTCAACCAACACTTGAAGAGGCGTGAAAATTTCCGAATATTTGCCCATATTTTCTGGCGTATACAAAAAACTTGATCCCATGACGACAACTATTTATTGCGGCTGCTTTTATGGCAGCAATTTGAAGTGAGACTAGAATTTTAGGATAATATAAATACTCAGCCAGCTGCACCAGCTATACTTGGTGGCTTATTTTGTAAGGTATCCGGTAAGCCGTTTACTTGAAATCTTAGAAGATCGTACCCACGAAACGACTTTTCTAGCTTGTTCATTTGATCCATTTTAGCCCTCCGGTATGACACATAATATGCAGCCCCCAAAGTTTGATCTGGAATTTTAAAATAGTTAAACGCTTGCTGAAAATACACGACCCTAGAAAGTGGAAATGAGCTAAGAAGCCATAAGCGCATAGTGGCTAATCACGGAAGAAAAAACTGGAAAGGGAGTCATTTAGGAACCGAACCTATGTCTCATTGGAATAACCCCGTAAGAGCCAGGTAATCACTGCACTGAGCACCTTCAGTTTTCTCACTGAGGGACTCAAAAGTACCTGGAAGCCCTGGAAAGGATCTTCATTGAGAGGCCCTTTCTAAACTAAAAGCGCTATCTCCGGTAGTGCTAATTGCCATTTGCCGCAAACTCTTCTTAACCCACCTCTTGATGAAATGCCATTATCTCAGTACAGTGCCCAACTTCCTTCCAATAAGATCCTTCGTTCCTAACCGATTGTCCGTGACTGACGGACAAGATATACAGTTGGGAGGGGGGAGGGGCAAAAATGTCACTTCGCCCATGGCGCACATCGAATTTTCCTTCGCTGCCCCCACCGTCTTCAGAATATGACGTCATCTGCCGTCACCGTCGAGCTCAACGAGGCTTACCGTAATCGCTCCGGCCTGAAGCTGCTACATAATTTCTTCAATCGATTAACTGGTGAATAGCTTCCCAGAGACACTAGCTGTGACTGTGCAAGAGACCAGCGTTTCAGGGACGTCGTAATGGTCTATGGTACCTCGACGACCTCGTTGAGCTCGTACCGTGAACCATGTTTCCGTGGGAAAATCTTCTGATGTCGTCGGTGTAGAAGGCTGTCATGTAACTTTTGATAGATTAGAATGTGCTCTTTAATATTCAGTTGGAGCTCATTTGGTTTGGTTTCGCAACGTGTAATTAATTTCGTTTTGAATGTGGAGGGAAGTGACTCTTTTTTTCTGCCCCCCCCCTCCTTGTATACATTCGCTGCTATGGTTCCCTTGAGCAATGTCATCCTTTACAACGGTTGCACAAGAGACAAGGAAGGAGGGCGTCGGAGAACCTGCACATGCTTTTCTTATGTCTCCGCAGGGCGTACCTGGCGTGCGTGGATGGGGCGCTGCAAATGACATGGGTGAGCCGCCCGCCTTGGACCGTCCTCCTGCACATCCTCGCCGCATGTACACATATCTCCCCCTCGCAAAACTATTTTTTTCTTCAGCTGGTCATAGAAGGTAACTCTTCGCCCTAGGCAGCAAGCTGAACTCGTTCCTCTGGCTTTTCGAGCAATTGTGCCTAGCGGTTACATTACGGGGCACCGTCAGGTTTACCCAGCTGTTGATGTTATATTTACCACAGCTTATCAGCACTAACACGTATTATAACATGATTAACAACCAACCCATGCCAACCAATATCGGGGATGAGCCACGCGGCCAAAAGCTTTGGCAAATTTTAATTTTGACTCCTTTTTTACCATGGCTATGTCATCAAAAGTCGGGCCAAAAGCGGTTCATTGGTGATGTAGCCTGTAGCACAAGCTGCCGAAAAACCAGAGGTGCTGGTTCAACTACCGCCTGGGCTGAAGACTTTAGCCAGAACCTGGCATCCTTCGGAGATTTTCAAATAATGCTCTAGAAAGTAACCCGTAACCCTCAGTGTTCTCTGCGCTACAATAATATTGATGTGCTGGACTTCTCTCTCATGTTTGGTATCTCGATAACTCAATTATGGTTCGCGACTCACTCGGACATCACCAGAATATATTCGATTTTTCTATTGAAACCAGAGATCACATCGGCAGCGGTGTCCACTCACTGATAGCTTGAAATTTTTTTTAAATTTTGGAAAGGATCGATCGATCGATCCGGTTTCCCCAATTGAAGCACGAAAGACTCAGGAAGTAGGAAAAAGGTCTACATTTTTTTGGACAGCTTCCGAGTTCTTGGTTCGCTTTCGAGCAACTGGCAGGTGGAGAGACTTGAGAACAGAATCAGGCGCTACCCCAAAATACGGGATCATCCTCTAAGAGTAAACCCGGTGCAGAATACAGGAAAGGGGGGGGGGTGCAGGAATTCCGAGAAAATGAAAGTCTTCAACGCACCTTGGATTCTCCTCCCCTGTTTGAAGAGTAGTCATGTTTTTAACGAAAAGAAGATGTTTAACGTGGTTGCCACAACAATGCCCCTGCATCTTGCGATAGCTGCAAAAATTATTCTAAATCTAGTTATTATTTGTTGTATACATGTCTTATTAGATAAAAGAATAGTTTCTTTTGGAGAACCAGGAAATAACGTCTGTTCTAGCACTGTGATTCCCGGAAGAAATTTTGCCTATTTTTTT